GGTGGGCTCGAGAAACTGAAGCGAGCTAAGCCGAAAGCGTCCAATCATTTTTAGCGTTTGAGATAAACCACAATTATTTCATAAAATCATTTAAAAAAATTACTGAGCTGTTCAAAGATTCCTCATCTTACGAGTGTAAATTTGCGCCGAGGCAAGGATACCAAAAATATCTCAAAATGGCTAATGCCCTGACAAGTGCTTCTAGCAGGAGAACTGTTAAGCTGGTAATTCTCTCAGAAGAAGTCGAAGCCAAAAACGCCAAATGAGCCGTTCATCAGACGGTGAAGCACTGATCAAAATAATCGGAAAAGTTGCTAGCTGCACAGATGATTCGCAGCTGATCCAAATATTTCAAGAAAGTAAGCTGCTCAAAATTAAAACGTACAATTTTATAATAATTGTTCTTGGCGCGTGCATACGAAAGCGTTATTGGGAAAAATTTACGATTCCAGAAGGGATCCTTGAAATACCAATAAATGTTGCCGTGATCTTCGTCTGCTTCAGTACGATAATACGCTGAAATTTAGCATTCAAAGTAAGCACTGAGCAGACAAAACTATTGGAAAAACACAGAAAAACAAAAAACTTACTCTCCATTTCATGCAAATCGTCATAAACAAATTGCAGGTCGGCCTTCATCTTCGTAGCTAAAATACGCTTTTTGTTACTTCAGAAAAAAGGCCAAAATTTTGACTGATCAAATCCACAATACAATACGATCACGATTCTCCTAATCGACAAGGTACCACATCGTGGCCAAGAAGTGACAGGACTGGAGATAAGGTAACGATGCTCAGCACACACTGAAATAACAGAATAGAGGGATTCGACTTAAGTGTCATGTGTGAAAAGACAATTTACTATGCAGCATCTGTGTTTTATCTCTGAGCTGTTAACACAGACCGAACTCTGCATGCGGGTAGGAGTGGGAATCATCAGTACAGCCTCTTACCCACCATATTCTGAACAGTCATGTAACTAATTTGCAAGATAGATATGCGAAAGAAAGAGAAGTCTGAGAGACAGAGAGAGTAAACAGAGTGAGAGAGGCGAGAAAGAAGAGGAAGTTAACTCATGATACGGACAATTATTATATGTCATTTATGAGGAAACGTTTTTATGAGAATAGCGTGCTGACTAGGCGTTTACCTCCTGAATCATCAGGGAAGATGAATTTGCTGAGTACTGGTCATCTCCAAACAGTTAAAGCTCTCTGAAGTGCTTCAACAGGAAGAACCACTGCATAGGAACATGAAGGTTGCAGAGATGCGCGTAACTAGGTGCTGTAGCACTGGTTACGAAAGCTGGAAAATTTTTCAACAGTGTTGATGGAAAATGGGACCACGAACCAGCAGTTATTCCAGGTATTCGCGGTATGACTACAAAGTAAACCCGGAACAAGAAAATCACGACTCAGCTTGATAAAAATGAATCTGTAGATTGCAGTCAATCTTGGCTCGGCTTCAAAATAATGCATTCTCCCCTCCCTCTGAACAACGGCTTCATTTCAAAGTGATAATCGCGGAACTGAACTTAAAAACAACGTATGCATAACTTACAATCATGATTCACTTCCGAAAGTGCTCTCACTATGTCGTCATAAGCAAGCTTGAGTTCCTTTTCACTTGTTTCCGCCTCTCTCGTACCTTCTGGTGTCTTGATAGCCAAACGTTTTCTTGCGTAACGCTGTCGCTGAATACTATCCGCCTGCACAGACAATAAATCTGCCTTTTTCTTTGCTTCATCCTGGAATCAGCTCTTTCTTATTTTCCGCGGAATGCACACAAGTAGACAATTCAATCCCAATATCCTCACTTTTTTTTACGTTTCTTATACACTCATTTCAATTTTCCCTTCTTTTCAATGGCCACTCAGCCGAAAGTCCATAAATGCAGACTACCGCTGCAATACTTCAACACTATTCCAATTACAAATTGGCTAGTTGTTGTAAAATACCCCAGGAGAAAAGACATAAATTTAAAC